GTTGCATCAGCGAGGTCACGTGACTAGTATCACGCCACGTCCTTCTCTCGAACCTTCATGAATTATTGGGAGGCTACTAGATTGGGGTAGTCTGGTATATATATAAGATGGTCACAACGTGACGAGGTAATGAGTAATTGAACTGCAGTCAGTGAGTGTGTAATTGAACGGAGTAATGTCGAGCTCGTGAGATGCGAGTTATAGCGTTTGTTATAGAGCGACTGTTGAAATTAAGTGTATCGTAAAGTTACAGTCTAATACTGTCTGTCTGCAGCTTCATGCTCGTTTCACACTACTTATATCTTTATTACATATCCGTTTGGCCACTTTCTATATTCTTGAAACCAATTAGTTATTAATAAAACCTTCTACAGTAATCTGATTTTAACTCTTATTATAACAAAACATAAAAATAATAAAATATTCACTCACAAATATGTAAATTAAATACTAATATTTAAACTAAACAGCCTTTTATATCATGACAAAGTAACTTTAAAAAATGCTCTCTAGAATATTGGTTGGTCTAGCATTGGTTCTTCTATATATTTATCTGATGCCCATTTCTGTAGATGTTGCTATATATTCCTTGTTTTTTAAAGAAAATATGGAGTAATAGTGAAAATGTTGAGATATATTTTACACATCCTCACTTTCTGCTACTAAGTTGTGCAACAAAATGTTTACTGGTGAAAGTAAACGTTTTGTTATTATGATACCGTAGAACTTCTTTATTAATCAATGGGTAGAATAACAAGAATTGAAAATGTCAACCATAAGCTTAACTGAACATTTAATACTTATCAAGTCTAAAACTTTAGGTATAAAATACAGTTTCCAATTAAGTTCTAAACCAATACTTTGTGTCAATCTTGTATGAAATTAACAATACCACCCCTCATAAAACAAACAATTTTTAAATATTTTATTAATAAAATCTTTTAATTTAGTTAATCTACAAAAGACTTGTATTATGCATAGCTATAGCTATAGGTAATGATAAACAGTGATACAGAAAGAGTGGAATATATTTTCATCTGTCTCACTTGGCTGTTGTTGGCTAAGTCACTAACTGTTTCCTTCTACAATAATACACAAGTATATAAATACACTAGCATTATTTTATTACAAATTACAGATTTTACAATAAGTAAGATTATTTTTTAGAACAGGTATGACATTTTGTTCACTGGTGTGGTCATTCTCAAGTACATAAGTTTTAACCATTTTGTTTACATTTGTTTGTTATACAGCCTGAAGAATTATTTTCTATACATATATATATATATATATATATATATACACATACATAGACAGACACACATTCAAAAGATGAAAAAGATAGATTAGATTAACCACAATTTACTGTATGCTCTAATTCTTTGTTATTAGACTATCCACTGTTTACTCTCTTCTAATTCATTTTGACTAAGATTGCATCACTAAGATTACAAATTTCTCTTATCCCTAATTTTTAATTCATCTATATGTTCAACTTCATGCTTGTTACTGTTCACAGTGTTATAAATAATCTTCCTTAAATTTATTGGAATATAGCTCATTTCACCAATCATTATTTTTATGAGCTCCAGATTTTGTTAATTAAGCTAGTTACTGTTACCTGTGTTATTTATTTACAGCTAACAGTTTTTTATTAATAAAACTGAAATTAGTGATTTTTCTAAAAAGGATTCGAAAGTTTTAAAATAGTTACACTCTCATACATTTGTAGCTACTTGATAAATTATATGTCATGTTCAACACATTAAGCAAGTCTTAATGAGTTATCTCATAACACAAAATTCAATGGTTAGAATCTGACTCAAACTAATCAAATAAAAGTATATTACAGATATGTTTATTAAAAATTAGAAATATAGTTTAATTCCCAAAACTATCTGTTTATAAGTTTGAGCAAGTGGATCAAATCATGTTTACATGTAGTGGGTGGATGCTCTATCAGAATGATGTAGCTATGGGATCAAAGTTTACACGTAGTGGGTAGATGCTATATCAGAATGATGTAGTTATGGGATCAAAGTTTGCACGATAAGTGGGTAGATGCTCTATCAGAATGATGTAGTTAAGGGATCAAAGTTTGCACGTAGTGGGTGGATGCTCTATCAGAATGATGTAGTTATGGGATCAAAGTTTACACATAGTGGGTAGATGCTCTATCAGAATAATGTAGTTATGGGATCAAAGTTTGCACGTAGTGGGTAGATGCTCTATCAGAATGATGTAGTTATGGGATCAAAGTTTGCATGTAGTGGGTAGATGATCTATCAGAATGATGTAGTTATGGGATCAAAGTTTACATGTAGTGGGTAGATGCTCTATCAGAATGATGTAGTTATGGGATCAAAGTTTACATGTAGTGGGTAGATGCTCTATCAGAATAATGTAGTTATGGGATCAAAGTTTGCACGTAGTGGGTAGATGCTCTATCAGAATGATGTAGTTATGGGATCAAAGTAGATGCTATTTTAGCACATTTCTTCCTTTGTTAGTATTAGTTATTTGTTGTACCATTGTTTATCATTTTCATACATAAAATGTGCTTCCAATCCTTTTTAAAGTATCTGACTAACAAATATCTTAGTACTAAGTTTACTGTTTAAGAACAAAAGAATGTCTTTTCTTAGTATTTTCAAAACTAACATTATTAACTAACCTTTATGTTTGTGGATTATCACCTATTACAAGACATCATACTTTACTTATCATGGCTAGAGTATGATTTGTTGCAATTTCCTTTCTGTATGGTCTTGGTATCCCAAGTTGATACATATTCCTTTGTTTATCAATGCCATTAAATGCAAATGATATCTCCATTGTAGAATTTCTAAATCTTTGATCTAAACACATCTTTATGACCCGAAAAGACTGTTATGTTCCCTTCCCATATATATGTATATTATTGAGGTATTATGTATCATATTAATAACTGTTTATGGTACATTCTGTATATAAGTATTTTGTACATGTGTGTCATCTAGGTATTGTTGATTAAATATGAAAATATTTTTTATACATATATATTGATAATGAAGTTAATAAGTGTCTTATGAAATTGTTTTTCACTATAATCAGCATATTGTTTAGTTAGGCTATAATTATGAAGTGTGCATTCTAAAATATGGTTTTTAAACTTGAAGTGATTTTAATTGGTTACTTCTTGTGACTTGTTTTTAAATTGGCTACTACTTTTATTATGTTTGTTAAATTGGTTACTACTTAAGGCACATTTTAAGCTGATTACTATTTGCAGTGTGTTTAGCTAATCACTTTATTGATGTTGACCTGATGTATCCTAGATGTTGACCCACCACGGAGACTTATGTGTGGAGGGAGTCAATTAGCACTAGAACGAATGCTACAGTTTGGACGAGAGCTTCATTCATTTAGTGTACAACTAAAGAGGGAGTTTGGAACTAATGAAACTAACAAAAAAATGTTGCAGGTAAGGATATATATATATAAATATATATAGTTTTAGTTGAGAATATGTGAATATTTTATTAATGCATATAACGCTGGAGAAATTGGATTTGGTGTGTCATCACACATCAAAATATTAATAATACTAGAAACATTGGACACGTTCAGACATTTACACAGCGAAAGATTAATAACACTAGAAACATTGGACACGTTCGATATTTACACATCAATAGATTAATAACACTAGAAACATTGGACACATTCAGATATTTACACATCAATAGATTAATAACACTAGAAACATTGGACACATTCAAATATTTACACATCAATAGATTAATAACACTAGAAACATTGGACACGTTCAGATATTTACACATCAATAGATTAATAACACTAGAAACATTGGACACATTCAGATATTTACACATCAATAGATTAATAACACTAGAAACATTGGACACGTTCAGATATTTACACATCAAAATATTAATAACACTAGAAACATTGAACACGTTCAAATATTTACACATCAAAAGATTAATAACACTAGAAACATTGGACATGTTCAGATATTTACACATCAAAATATTAATAACACTAGAAACATTGGACACGTTTAGACGTGTGTCTTATGCTGGAACATCTGCTAATATTAGATAAGAATATTTGCAGATATTATATATCTGTGCAGTCTGTGTTGTAACATTTGTAAATGGTACATTTTCATGCCCAGTGTTGTATGGTTTATAAATGTCAAATACATCTTATGTTGAAACACCTCTTAATATTATGTATCTTTGTGTCCTATGTTAGAATATTTGTGAATGTTATGTTTCTGAGCCTTATATTGAAATATTTTTGAATGTTGCATGACTCGTGGACCTGTAATGTAGCTCCGTTGATAACAACATGTATTGACATACACCATGGTAATTTTCAGTTGGCTTTGTTTGTAATGTACTAGAACTTGTAAAATTTTAAATATATGTCTGATAGATGTGTAACTTTTAGTTATTTGTTTTATCACATAAAATCTCTGGATGTTAAACAATTGTTTAAACCATGTAAAAAGTTCTAGTAATTTCTGAGTTCATGATAAAACTTAAGAGTAATTTTTAAGGAGTGAATCTGCTTAAAGCTGTGAAACAAATTAACATTTTGAGCAAGAATTGCTCTTTTCCAGACTACAAATGAATTGATAACAATCATAAAATAAGTGATTCTAGCTCAAGAATTATAAGACATTTAATTTTTTAGCATAAATATTAGGCCTAATGCTAGATATTTAAACATTTATAATATTATTAAGAGTAATCTGTTTTCTGTTAAGTTTCCATGTATAAAATCATATACATTTTTAGTGTTTAGTCCAATAGTTTGTTATCCATGACAGGATGCCTTCAGCCTCTTAGCATACTCAGACCCATGGAATAGCCCAGTAGGACATCAGATGGATCCAGTTCAGAGAGAACCTGTGTGTGCTGCACTCAACAGTACAATTTTAGGTATGTGTCTAACCCAACAGTTAAATTATATGAGTTGTGTTTATGTGTAGTTGTCTTATGTTTCTAGAACCCAACAGTTAAATTATAGGAGTTATATTTATGTGTAGATAAGTTTCTTATGTTTCTATAACCCAACAGTTAAATTATAAGAGTTGTGTTTATGTGTAGTTGTCTTATGGTTCTAGAACCCAACAGTTAAATTATAGGAGTTATGTTTATGTGTAGATAAGTTTCTTATGGTTCTAGAAACCAACAGTTAAATTATATGAGTTGTGTTTATGTATAGTTAAATTATATGAGTTATGTTTATGTGTAGATAAGTTTCTTATGTTTCTAGAACCCAACAATTAAATTATAAGAGTTATGTTTATGTGTAGTTGTCTTATGGTTCTAGAACCCAACAATTAAATTATAAGGGTTATGTTTATGTGTAGATAAGTTTCTTATGTTTCTATAACCCAACAGTTAAATTATATGAGTTGTGTTTATGTGTAGATAAGTTTCTTATGTTTCTATAACCCAACAGTTAAATTATATGAGTTATGTTTATGTGTAGATAAGTTTCTTATGTTTCTAGAACCCAACAGTTAAATTATAAGAGTTGTGTTTATGTGTAGTTGTCTTATGTTTCTAGAACCCAGCTGTTAAATTATATGAGTTATGTTTATGTGTAGATAAGTTTCTTATGTTTCTAGAACCCAACAGTTAAATTATAAGAGTTATGTTTATGTGTAGATAAGAGTTATGTTTATGTGTAGTTGTCTTATGTTTCTAGAACCCAACAATTAAATTATAAGAGTTATGTTTATGTGTAGTTGTCTTATGGTTCTAGAACCCAACAATTAAATTATAAGAGTTATGTTTATGTATAGGTGTTTTATGGTTGACGAACCCAACAAGTAAGTTGTAATAATTGTGTTTCCAATATGGTACATTACCTCTTCTCACATAAATAGCTATTCTTGTTCAGTGCTGCCCTCTATATGTAAAAACAATTTATGCATGCCATAAGCCTTGAATCTCCCACATCTGAAATTGACTAATTACGATGCGCCTCACATGCAAGTCATCATGCGACAACCCTCCACCAATAAGAGTGCGACATACACTCTAACGCATGTAACTCCCTCTATTCAGTTCTACCGAACTATCACTTCTTGTTTGCCAGTATTTGTGTTCTAACATTTAGTTTGTTCTTTTTTCAAGTGTTTCATTTTGATTTTTTTCCATGTCTTTGTATTAATTTTTCTCAACAAGTGTATTCTTTATCATACGATAGTGATATTTATAACTTGTTGATTTATTCCAAGGCAGAATTATTTTATATTCCTACCTGGTTAAGGAATATAAAAAACTTTTTCTTTGTTTCTGCCAATATAGTTGTGTTTGGTTATTCATTTTGCAATCTATGTTACCACTTTGGAGGTTATATGTTCTATTCGCACATTTACACTGGCTTCAGGTCGTGGTACTCCATGGGAAGATTTTTGGCTTTACTTTGTCGGGAGATTGGTCGTCCAAGTAGCTGATACTCGTCAGGTCTCGCCTCAAGTTTGGAGGCTCACACATTTTGACATACAGTCTGCCGCCTTTCAAAAGATAAGACATTATATTGTTATGGTTTTTGAATACTTTTAATATTATTATCTGTAGTTATTTGAATTTTATAAGTTTCATTAGTTTAATCGATACTCATAGCCCAGTTCAGGTTAGAAATTAGGCTTGCATGTATCCTTTCTCCTATACTACTGATACTAGGGGTCTTTGTTATTTTAGGATTACCTGTAATTCATCTGACTGGGATATCAATCATTCGTTTAACTATATTGTTTTTCTTCCACACATAACGTCTTATATATAGGTTATTGTTAATACACGCTTAATTTAAAAATTCCTATTTATTTCATTTTCAATATTATATATATTGTTAGGTTAAGATTTTTATTTTAGAGCTTAGTGATGTCCTTTGTCCTGCACTGTTTGAGTAGGCTTAAAACATGTCTGTTATTTTCAGTTTTCTTGTAGTTATACTTGAGGATTATCATTAAGTTAAATATCTTGCTATCTTAGGCTTAACAAGTGTCTGTTAATTTCCTACCATCCACCCTACCTGCTCCCAATATTAGTCACCTTTTGTTCTAAAATGTATTTTTACACACCCCTCTATCAGGACCATCCATTAATTTTCTTCTTAATTTGTTTCTTCCCTTTTCTTCTATATGAGTTGATAGATGTTCATATCCCCCATGATGTCGAGTTTCCTGCTTCCTCCCCTTCCTCTGGATTGTTTCTCTTCCCTGATGCTCATCTCCATTGGTTGGAGATGTGTTTAATCTGTAGGAGGCTTCAGGACTATGGTCTCCAGGCAAATAGTCTTATTCCCTTCAAACCCTGGCACTTCATCCAGTCCAGTGTGCTTTAGTTTACTCAGTGTTTTGTGGATTTGACTGATCATGTCTCATTTCATTTAATCAACAGTGGTGGCTTCTGTTTCTCACCAAGGGTACATTCTTTCTTGTTCCTTTTGTGGTAGACAGTGGATCTCCTCTTTTTGAACCAACACACTTCATGTGCATTTCCTGAAGGGTCATGTTCCAGGTTTTTGTCCTCGTTGCTCATTGCCTTTTCAGTCCCATCACATTTTCTCCCCAGGAGTGACCTCTCAATTCTCCAAATTTTTTATGGCTCTACCTCCTGTGGGGTACTCCTCCACATTAAGTTTTTGAATATTTTATCAATTCCCTCTTTTGTTATTGGTCTCAAGTTCATCACCCCCTTGCTCTGGCTGTTGATATGTTTAGACAGGATTACATCCAGTTTCTCATGTTAGTTTTTTTCCTTCCATCATTTTTTCCCAAAATGTTTGTTCATCCATCTCACTCCAGTTCAGGTTTTTCTAAATGAATTCCTGGATGGCACAAATCTGGGTTTCTCTGCTGTTTGGCTTGATTGTTTCTTTGGTTATGGATAATTTTTATTTACCTCCATTTTGTGGTTCGTCTGGTATATTCCTTTCAACTTCTCTATTTTTTTACCATATTCCACATTTCTTCTCGATTGGTTCCAGATGAACTTGTTGGTCCAGTACATGCTTTGGGTTGCTTCATTATTTTTAATGTTTTTCTGTTGAATCCATCTCCCATGATTTGTCTGTGTTTTTTTTTTTCCTTTCATCCCTGACCCATTGGGTTTGGATTGTGATCCGATTGGCCTTTTTTTCCTCGTATCCTTTTCCCTGCATATCCAAGCTGTCATCTGTTGGAGGTACTTTGTCTCTCGAGCATTGGAATTACTACTCTTATGTTCATCTCCCATTCTTTACTTTGGGTAGATGTTTCGTCCTTGTCAGGTACCATCATCCACCTGTTGCCATCCTTCACTCTTTCATGAGACTGTGGTTGGGTAAGTTACCTTTTAATATATATACTTCTTATTTTCAGGGGCATCTCCCTCTATTTTTCTTTATGGATCCTGCTCTGTGGCGAGTAGTGCCTGTCCAGGTATACTTAAACTAGTAAAAGTCACACTATAAGGCCATGATGACTTAACCATTATAATTTCATGGCCACACACTGCGGAAATGGGGGATTCCACAAGATTGCTTGTAGGTTTATCCTCACAATAGGTTTGCTTCATAAGTTTGCCCATCCTGGACCGTACTCACCCATGGACTACATGTGTAAAGCAAAAGGGGATAGCTGCCCATTGTATTTAAGAAATTGGTATGGTCTGCTTTTCAAAATAGTGTTTTTTGTTCACTCATTGCACTGTCTCAGATGTTGTCATTTCCTCTGGACTCTCCACCGTGCTTTCTTCCCCCTCTTCTTTTAGTAGAGTTTGAGAGTCCTTCTCACTTTCCAGTTCCAAGCCACTGGGGTGGTGGACTATGGAAACATCATCCTGAATGTGATAATGAAATACAAGTAATATATGTAAATTATTATAAAACCATTTAGTTGAGAGTAGGGCAGTGGTGTTCTGCTGGTGTAGATGATGAGATTGTGAACCTACATCCTACCCCCACATGGATGTCGGTTTCCGGTGGCTGCATTTTGGATTTAGAGTTGAACCAATCAACATAAGTCCTCACACATGTATTACATATGTCTCTATTCCCTCATTCATTTCTACTGTTGTTACTTCATCCATGGAGTGGATCATGATGGAAGTATTTACAGATTACAATGGTTCCTCCACTATTCCTCTATGATTATTATTCCAAGGATGTTCCTACACTCTGGGTGGTTCTTGTCATTATATATTTAAGTGAGATGGTTTACATTAGACAGACATTTTTTTGATGTCGGGTTCCCAAAACGATCATTCAATTTCACACATTGTTATAAAACAACACCGTATGCTCGTTCGTGGATCGAGGGGTTCTTGATTCCCTCCGGTCTCATGAACTTGAGGTGAAGACAGTATGATCCTCTTTCCTACCCCCACCTGATGGCTGGGTTTTGGATTGTAATTGACTTGCCACTGGTATGATCCTCATTCTACAACCCTGTGGATGTCGGTTCCCAGCATCATGGGTTTTGGATTGTAGTCAACTTGCCAATGGTATGATCCTCATCCTACATCCCTGTGGATGTCGGTTCCCAGCAGCATGGGTTTTGGATTGTAGTCAACTTGCCAACGGTATGATCCTCATCCTAACTCCCTGTGGATGTCAGTTCCAAGCAGCATGGGTTTTGGATTGTAGTCAACTTGCCAATAGCATGATCCTACCTCCCTGTGGATGTCGGTTCCCAACAGCATGGGTATTGGTTGTAGTTGACTTGCCGTATACAGTCCGTCATGCTCTAGCCACTCTACACCTGGAGGCACATCCTTTTATCTTACTAACTTTTATGTTTTCCGGAATTGAGTTTTGCATACAGAGGGCAACATAGTTATTTACGTGAGAGGTGGTAAGTACCTATCAGAAATACATTTTATAGTATGGGAAAATTATAACTTTTGTGTAATTATCTGTTATGATTCTAGAAACCAACAGTTAAATTATAGGAATTATGTTTATATGTAGCTCAGTGTCTTATGGTTCTATAACCCAACAGTTAAATTATAGGAGTTGTGTTTATGTATAGGTGTCTTATGATTCTATAACTCAACAGTTAAATTATTAAGTTGTGTTTATGTATAGGTGTCTTATGACTCTAGAACTCAACAGTTAAATTATTAAGTTGTGTTTATGTATAAGTGTCTTATGGTTCTAGAACTCAACAGTTAAATTATTAAGTTGTGTTTATGTATAGGTGTCTTATGACTCTAGAACTCAACAGTTAAATTATTAAGTTGTGTTTATGTATAAGTGTCTTATGGTTCTAGAACTCAACAGTTAAATTATTAAGTTGTGTTTATGTATAGGTGTCTTATGGTTCTAGAACTCAACAGTTAAATTATTAAGTTGTGTTTATGTATAGGTGTCTGACGATTCTAGAACTCAACAGTTAAATTATAGGAGCTGTAGGAGTAATGCTGGGTGTATCAGTGAATTTACTTATACCTCTGTATTTTTAACCTCACATGTCTACACTTCTGGTAAATTACTTGACTTAAAAAATAAGGATAATGCAGACTATGAGAATGTGCTCAGTATCAGAAGTTTGGTTAAAATATTTCATACATGCACTTATTTGTAGAAACAGCTGTTCTAGTGATGGATGTTTTATACTAGTCATCTGCTCATTTTATGTGTGAAAATCTCTTGTAAAGATATATTACCTTAATTGTGATTTTTAATTTTTAAGACTGACACTACATTTTCTTTGTGCAGAATCTCACAATCTACCACGCCAGCCACCTTTAGAACTTGCCTTAGCTCACGCACAGGAAGTGGTCAAGCTCATGTCCAGAAGTGGACTTGGTTCTTGTGCTTTTGCAAATCTGGAAGATACCCTGTTACATTGACCCTGTTTTTGATATAGAGCAGCATTTTTTTTCTGTATCCAGTCTGCTAGTTTCACGAAAATTATAAATCATTTTAATTTAATCCTATATGCCTTCTTGTGCACTTCTCTCTCTGCTGCTGTTGTCTTATTTCAGTCTGTCTTTGTTCAGTTTTGGACGTTCCAAACTACAGTACTTCGCAGCAGTGACAAATAAACCTCCTTTCTCAAAGCATTAATGTGATTTAATCTTCACATCTGATCCCATTTTATAATTTACTTGGCTGCTCATACCAAGATCTACCAAAACCATATAGTTGTTCCCTCCACATGGGTGGACTTGTGCGTAATCTAGATGTGGTTTTGTAGAGACATATAGCAGTAAGAGAACATGGTAAGTTTAAAACAAACCTTATGGCTGGTTTGTGACTAACATATACAAGGTTGTAAAGAAACTACAAACCACACATCTATTTCTGGATGTGGTTTTCTCTTGTGAGAGAAAGATGTTATTTTACAAAGCTTTTATTATAATCTATTAGATGTTCCAGTTGAAGTGGTTAGGTTGATAGTTGTTAATCAATTAGAATATTAATGAATTCGGCTAGCCCTGTAGAGGTGGTTCACAGTAAGAGTTTGTATTTCAACGATTTAGTAAAATTCATCCAATGTACCTGATTTATCCCAGTAATAATGAAATCAACTACAACTGAAGAAACGGCTCATGGAAGCAAAATAGAATATGCTGAAAAATTCTCATTATGTAAAACGTTAATTTCATAGCTTGGTAATTCTGGAGAGTGAAACAAGTTACAACATATGTTCACAGCATCAGTACTGTTTTTTCTTTTCTTTTTGTGAAGCATTCATTCATTCTCAGGAACATATTTTGATTTATAATTTTGTTTTTCCTAATTTATTGAGAAACTGTTAGTATTACACATGATTGTAAAAATGTACGTGATTTTTCAGCAAAGCCGTTAATTCTCTAGTATAACAGAAAGAGATTTCATAAAACTTCCACCTTCATGGATTGCATGCTTCAAATATAATGTTTTATATTGTAATTGTTTCTTATTCCTGCTATTATTCAAATGATTTTATACCTTCAGACGTAGAGAAATAAAGCTAAAGTATCAATGTGATTTTTTAATAAATTACTCGCAGGCTGCTAATACTAGTATTTTATTTAAATCTGAAGGTGATAAGTGTACTTTACATAGTGTTGTGAATAACCTTAGCCTTGTTATTCAAACACTACCATGGAAAATTGAACTTAGTTTTATTTTGTAACTAAAATTAGTTTTTCATATTAACTTTGCCAGTCACACCTCTTTTAAATAAGTAAAATCAGAAATAAATTAAGAGCTGCTTGAAATATACTGGTGGATAAGATTGTTTTATTTTATCTTGAAACTTCAATAAAATACTTATGTTATAATTTTATAATGGAAAGGAAACAGTAAGAATTTTAATTTTGATGTACGTAACTTATTATTGCTGAAAACTAGCTTTAAAACACACGTTTTTTATGGTAACTTGTGGTCATTGTTTCAGTTTTTTATAAAGAAATTAAGGCCTATTTACATAATCAAATAATGTTTTATATTATAAGAATAAAGCAAACAAAACTGATAGTTAAAATATAAGATTCTAACCAGGGTTCAGTGCCACATGAAACACAAATTAAGTATAGTGTGATTTCTTTGTTAAAAAACATTACCAACAGTAGTATTGAATGGTGTAATTAAAAGTGATACTTAACTCACTATGAACTGTACAGTTTACCCGTTATTAACTTTGTTCCTAGTAAACTACATGGTGAGACTACATCTCTACTGATTTAGGCCTGAGGGATGTTTAGAAAGCACTTCATTTAATATTTTACGTTTTTACTGGTTTAGAGATATCAGTGTTTACATTTCTATGTAGAACTGTGGCATTTTGAATTATTGTGTAATAAATAATTGTATCAAGGTCCTTTCTGGCTAGTTTGATTTTGATTAATATAACGTCATATAAACACACTAAAAGTAAAAAAAAAGGATCTTAATCATAGATACAGGAGGCATTTAATTTAAGACCATTTTTGAATTATGAGATATTTCTACACACAGTGAAACACTTGAGACATTTAACAAACACCATGTTAGCTACAAAAATTGTCTATTATTTGTCAAGTCCTAAAGCTGTTATTCTGTTTCTCTAAAAAACTTTTACTTAATTTCCCATCAGTGGATGTTGAATAGTGATTCTATAACACAAGAGAAAATAACTGTGAACTATTTGCAGGATATTCGGTAATATTTACAGGTTCTGATACTAATAAGATTTCAAAACTATTGTAGTTGTAAACATAACTGACAGAACAGAAATGCTGGCTTGGCACAAACTGAACTAACAAGTTCTCAAAACTTATAGTTGTGATAGAAGCATCACACTAAACTTAGAAATACAGGTTTGGTAAAACAGTGTACTAACAACATTTATAGTTGTGACAGGAGCATCACAATAAACTTAGAAATACAGGTTTGGTAGAACAGTGTACTAACAACATTTTGTAACAGCATCTGACACTTTCTTCTACCAAAAGTAGTTCATACGAACTGTCTGGATATCACTATATATATATATATATATATATATATATATGTATGGTGATGTAAACTGGACTCAAAACAACATAGATATTATAAGACTGTTGTTATTTTACATTAAACTGTTGTATATCACAGCCATTAATGTAAGGTTAACTGTAATGTGACTCCAATTACTATATAAAACAGTGAAAGTAGCTAGTTTACGGCACCAACTCTTCGAATAATTTAACCACCATCCTTATATTGCATTCCTGGCTCCAACGTGTGGATCAAAATTTTGAGGCAACATAACATGCTTCATGGGTGCTCAGATTCACAGTCCAACATACCTATAAACCTGCACTGTAATTTCACAAAACTGTTTATAATATTGATATATTGTTGATAATTAATTTATGAAGTTATTACAAGTTATAATACTTTTTAGAATGTATTTTGATACATAAACTTAAAAACTGCCAATGAATTATTTCCATCTTAATAGTTTTGATACTCTTGTAAATCATATTTCCTGCTCTTCAGAAAAAACAACAAATATTGAAAACTTTTTTAATGATGTTTTCAACCTTCAAAGAATGGCAGAAAATGTCCAGTTGACCATCTTTAAGAATACACACATTTGTGAGTTCAGTGGTAGAAACTTTAATTTTATAACACAGACAGCTACACAGTTATAATTTCATTTTCTTTAAAACACAACAGCTGTAGTCTCATATGGTTTTTAAACATCTTCAAATGTTCCTCTACAAACCTAAAAAAGAAAATACTAGAACTTAATGAAAAGATTCAAAATGTAGGAATTAACAGTATGATCAGTACTGCGATTAGGTTACAATCAGGCTTCAGTTAGAAGTGAAAGAACAGAATTATCATTAAGACTGAGACTAGGTTGCAATCAAGTTTTTGATTAAAAGAAAAAAAATGTGATGAATCCAGTACTTACTAAAAAATTGAGAACTGTGAATACAAAGTAACTAGAAGAAAATAATTAATGTAAGTAATCATGGAACCATTGTTATATTAGAAACATGATTTACTAAAACAATTGCAAGTTGCAATTTCAGCTTTTGGAATTTAAGACTCAAAAACAAGTTTGGAGACTGAATGCAGTCAACAACTAGGATTTCTAGGGTGGACTAGAAAAGCAAAAAATGGGGCTCAGTAAGACGTTAAACAATATTCTATAAAAAAACTGGAAGCTAGTACAAGGATGATAAATAAAGGAATAGTTTCATCAAAAAATGTCATCATCTAAGTGTGTATGTTGATCAACTTTTCCTACCTGGAATAGAATATTATAAAATATGTCTTGGTAAAAAGACAAACAATAAACTATAAAACTGGGACATACTTATTGTTACGACAGTGAGGGTCACGTGACGCTAGTAACACGTCATATTTTCGAACGTTCACGTCCCTTTCTGAAGTCTCGGGAGTTTACTAGATTTTGTTATTCTTGTACATATAAGATGGTCAAGACATGACGGCAACAAGGTGTGTAATTGACAGTTGAGTTGAGCACGTGAGACGTTCATTGTGAATTATAGCGTTTGTTACAGCGCGACTGTGGAAATTAAGTGTATTGCAAAGTTGTATTCAGAAAGAATAAACCAGTTTTATTTGAGAAAGGACTTGTATCGCTAAAGTTTCTTCGGAAAGAAATTATACGGAAAATTAACTAAGGAACGGAGACGTAACATTATCATAACATGAGTTCCATCTTCTAAACTAAACCAAAACTATTAATAAATAATCTTAAAACTAGCCCTTATCATTCATATACTTATCAACCTTTCTCTTAAACTCAGTTAAATTTACTGCTTCCACAACATCTGAAGGCAACCCATTCCAAAGGCCAACCATCCCATTAGAAAAAAAACTGTCTTAATTGAAGATGACTCCTACCCTACCAAAATTTATACTTGTGTCCCCTAGTCCTACTATTCTCACAACCCCTCCATCCCAGGCATCATTCTAGTAACCCTTTCCTAAGGTAAAAAGCCCAAGACTGAATACAATATTCCAAATGTGGCATAACCAGTGACCTATACAATGAAATTATAACCTCTTTTAAAAGCCAAGCAATGTTATAAAAGCAGGGCTTTTAAAAAAACATTAAGCAATATAACATGAAAAACAGGGTCTTAGTAAAACAGATGAATTAAACTATAAAAATTGAGTCCAAGTACAACAGAAAAAGGGTTTTAGTAAAATAACTGACCAATGCTATAAAAACAGGTTCTAAGGGTGAAGGACAAAACTATACAAATGGGATCTTCATTAAAGAGGTGAACAATGCTATAAATGGGTACTTACTCATTATCTTTGGTTGCAGCAAATGGTTCAAGGAATTTTCTACATTTCATGAAGTGTTTACTGTAAGTAAGAATATGAGATTTTGTTTCATATGTTCTTTGAAAACCTTATAGTAAAAAGCTTAAATGCAATGTGACTATAAAAACAACAGTTCTCTCGAACATTTTATGAGTTTTATCAATGGTACAGGACATTAAGTAATTCTCATGAGTTTCTTGTGCAAGACTGTCTTCTTAATATATCTCACTTTCTTCATGATGTTAGAAAAACAGTAGGTTAAAGAAATCCCTTTAACACAAAGATACAATACCCTATAACCTGTGCGCTTTCAACAGGTGGACCTTTCATCTTCAGGAGCAAACTGGATATCAGTAATTTTAATATTGACATGTATGGTAGCTTACTGTAGGTCCAAAGTTATTAATAATGGTAAACATGAACCTTATTAACTACGCTATGTATTTCTTTAATATTGTTGATACAATGTATGTTAATCAAGTTGAATTAGTTATGTTAACGTGTATTTTTTATCTTAGTAAAATTGCAACTGAATTATACATATATCTAACTGAAGTAATTGTTTTTCCCTCTTACTAAAGATGTAATATACAAGAAATTAGTGTACACCTCACAGGACTACTTTTGTCTTTCTAATGTTACAACATTCATGAAACAAGTACACACCTTCTTGAATTAGTTCTATATTTTCATCATATTAATAATACAGTATATACAAAAAAAATATTACATACCTGTTTTTATTAACTTAGTATTTTGTCAAATCATCACTCGATTTTAATGGTCATCCGAGATGACTGAAAACTTACTCGGACGACCAAGTTAAACCCCCATGTTGTCTGACGGACGACCAAGTTAACCCCCCACGTTGTCTGACGGATGACCAAGTTAACCCCCCATGTTGTCTGACGGACGACCAAGTTAACCCCCCACGTTGTCAGACGGACGACCAAGTTAACCCCCCACGTTGTCAGACGGACGACCAAGTTAACCCCCATGTTGTCTGACGGACGACCAAGTTAAACCCCCATGTTGTCTGACGGACGACCTAGTTAAACCCCCATGTTGTCTGACGGACGACCTAGTTAAACCCCCATGTTGTCTGACGGACAACCAAGTTAAACCCCCATGTTGTCTGACGGACGCCCTAGTTAAACCCCCATGTTGTCAGACGGACAACCTAGTTAAACCCCCATGTTGTCTGACGGACGACCAAGTTAACCCCCCACGTTGTCCAACAAATGACCAAGTTAAACCCCCATGTCCGACGGACGACAAAGTTAAACCTCCATGTTGTCTGACGGATGACTAGCACCCTGGAACAGGCCCTTACTCAAAAAAGCATTGCAGTTCACTGTACAAATATCCATGCTCACACGACACATGTAATGTTCGACTCTGATCCTGACCAAAATAATCGGTAAATTCCCTTAATAAAGACTCGAAATTTAAAACCCCACAAAAATATCTAATGGTCCTTTTTTGTTCAAAAAAAGATTGTTCTTTGTACAAGAGAAATGTTGATACAATCCACCAAAAGGGGCTGAAAATGTTAGGAAAAGTTTGCTTTTGAGATTGAATTCTTGTCACTTAACTGTCTATTGTGGAAAAGCTATGCTTCTTTGCTGCTTTATGCATGTAAGTTTGAATGGAATTCAACTGAGCACGAATGACTGTGTCATAACACAGTACAATGTTATCTCAGTTAGTTACATTACCACACATTGCATTGTGCGATGTTTGTTTTCATATATATGGGCAGGTGGAATTCTCAACGAAAACAAGTGCCAATAGCACGAATATTTAGTGAGATTAATTTCTAGTATAGATGCTTATGACAATAAAATTAACATGGCTTTCTCAACTTACTGTTAAACCTATGATAGAAAATAAAACAATCAATTTACAAAACCAAACTTAGAATTTTCAATGTTAATCATAATAGTTGAAATACTAACCCCCTTTCGATTACGTGCATATAGACGTAAATCTAATGTTGGACAGACATGCCCAATGGAGTCAAGGTAATACAGAAGGCCTAGCTACCATGGGCAAAGCAGGAAAATCCACGAATTAAACAGAGCATAATAATGATAACTGCAAACAAAATTTTATGAAAGTTTTGTTCAGTACTAAACAGAATAACAACAAATAAAATACGGCTAGCTTTACCTCTCTAGAGGTCAATACAAAATACGAGTATCAACGACAATACATATCAACTGTGTGTGTGTGTGTGTACATGTACAGTACTCAGGTATTGCATACGTAGTATGGTATAGAAGTATGTGTGAGAGTTAAGATGCAAGTATAGTCTTACATATGGCTGTACTTTACTGTACCTGGTGGCAGGCCAAGCTGGTTAGAATGAAAACACAACCTCATTGGCAATGATCACTGTTCTGTTTAAAGGTTTTACAGGTCACTGATTGTTTGTTTCCTTAAGATGCTATGTAACATTTACTTGGTTTGGGATTTTTGTTTCCAATGTAACGAAACTTCTTGGATCTGTTTTGAGGGTCTATGTACTTGTTTGTTTTGTTTTTTTTGGGGGGGACAACCTGGAAATTTCTTTAAAATCAAGCCCTGTAAACTAATAATAATATACATGAAATTGGTACATACCTGGTTGAATTAGTTCTGTAAGTAGACACAGCTTCTTCCATTGCCCGTAGATCAAGTGCTGCCTGAAATAACAGAAAAAAAATAGTATAAAAAATAGTTTACTATACACCACCAAAGTTTTACACATCACCTTAAAGAACAGTGGGAATTAATTATAAAAATATCTTCCGCATTATGGATGTCTGTTGTTAGAAAATAATTAGAAAACTATCCACTATGAACATTACTCTGCAACATGACTATACAATACGCAACTATATGAGAATTATAGCACCAAAGAACTTTGTACCTTTATTTTGTAACTGACTGTGCCCACAGCAGATGAATAGTGCACCATCCACTTCAAACCTTCCCTCATTAGCAACAGACTTTGACCCTTCCTTTGTAAGTAATTATATTTACACCTAACAGATAAACAGAATATCACCCATTTTGAAACTCTGTTTGTAACCAACTACATACTCAACTTGGAGATAACTGGAACACTACCAAATCTGAACCTCTCTTTCTATCCAATTACATCATCAAATAGTAAATAATTGGAACACAACTAAATCTGAACCTCCTTATCCAACTACTTATATCCTCAAATGGCAGATAAGAAGAACACAACCAAAATCTCAAACTCACTTTAGAATTTAACCAACTACATCCTCATCTAGAAGATAACTGTAACATCACCAAATCTGAACAATGCTTTGTAATGAACTAACTCCTCAACTAGCAGAAAAGTGTAACATCACCAAACCTGAACCTCTCTTTGTAACCAACTACATCCTCAACTAGCAGATAACTATAAAATCACCAAACCTGAACCTCTCTTTGTAACTAACTACATCCTCAATTAGCAGATAACTGTTACATCACCAAACCTGAACCTCTCTTTGTAACCAACTACATCCTCAACTAGCAGATAACTGTAACATCACCAAACCTGAACCTCTCTTTGTATCCAACTACATCCTCAACTAGCAGATAACTGTAACATCACCAATACTGAACCTTTCTTTGTAACCAACTACATCCTCAACTAACAGATAACTGTAACATCACCAATCCTGAACCTCTCTTTGTAACCAACTACATCCTCAACTAACAGATAACTGTAACATCACCAAATCTGAACCTCTCTTTGTAACCAACTACATCCTCAACTAGCAGATAACTGTAACATCACCAGATCTGAACGTCTCTTTGTAACCAACTACATCCTCAACTAGCAGATAATTGGAACATCACCAAACCTGAACCTCTCTTTGTAACCAACTACATCCTCAACTAGCAGATAATTGGAACATCACCAAACCTGAACCTCTCTTTGTAACCAACTACATCCTCAACTAGCAGATAACTGTAACATCACCAAACCTGAACCTCCCTTTGTAATTTTAGAATTACATCATCATCAAGCAGAAAACTAGGACACCTCCAAATTTTAAACTCCTTTTGTAACCAATTACATCCTAAACTGGATGATAAGTAGAAAGTACTCACTCCAAATCTTCATTAGTAACTGATTACATCGATAACTAATGTAGATCACAAAAAATCTTTTTCTATACTTACCTTCATAGTAATCTACAAATTCTGTCTCACTCAAGTTCTTATTTGTAAAAACAAATATTTCCATACAAACAAGTGTGCTTAAACCACTGAATATGTTCACATGTTTAAAACCTTGGTAATTTGTAAAATAAAAAAGTAAGAATAATAAGCAATATTTGCATAGATCATATATCTATATTTTGTGTATACATTTAAGTTTTACGGACATAAGTTATTCACATTTTACGTTCTAAAAACTAAAACACTACTACACAACTTGACCCAAAATGGTTTGTAAATTTTTCTTTATACGATGAAATGATACTAAAAAACATAGTTTAGTTTTTGTCATTGTTAATAGCTGACGCAGTTACCTGTGACAGTGATATCTGCCAACCAAAACCTTAATGTAAATACTTTATTTACATAATTATATGTAATTTGAGGATAACAAGGGACCTGTTGGTCCATCTGCACCACCCCAATCATTAAACTAAACAATAAAATAAAAACACTCAAAGCTAGCCTTTATCATTGAAATATTTATCAATCCTTTCCTTAAACTACCTCAAATTAACTGCATCCACCACATCCAAAGATCAAACATCCTGTTAGTAAAATAAAGCTGTCTTAGCCGTTGATCACTCTTATCCTGCCAAAATTTATACTTGTGTCTCCTAGTCCTACCGTTCTCACCAATGGTTGTATGTATATATGATATAAATATGAGACAGTTTGAATATGAAGAAATATCAAGAGAGGTATTGGTCATTAATACAATACATCCTCATGCTGAAAATTTAAGGCTGTGCAAATGTTTCTAAAAACTACAATTATATATTTATACAAGGACAGTTTCTGTTTTGAAGTACAAAAAGTGAAACAATACAAGTGTAATGGTATCTACATTTAACTTGTTTTCTTTATTCTTACTGTTAAAACTATATTCAAAACAATAATTCTTCATTTTATCTGTCATAAACTAAGATACAAAAAAACCAACTAAATACATTACACCTTTATATTTGTGTAATAGAAAGTGATGCTGACTGATTTCTTGCACCATAAGAGCTATCTGGAACCTATTATTATTATTTTTATTATTATTACAGCTTTTTGTTGTGAAAAAATGTCACAAGCCTGACTGAATTCTAAAATAATCCATATAACAATATATCTAATCTCAGGAAAAAGTTCTGGCCACGTAAAACTGATACATTTTGAAGTCTTCACTATGTGTAACTTTAGTTCTTCATGCTTTCAAGTCTTCACTATGTGTAACTTTAGTACTTCATGCTTTCAAGTCTTCACTATGTGTAACTTTAGTTCGTCATGCTTTCAAGTCTTCACTATGTGTAACTTTAGTTCGTCATGCTTTCAAGTCTTCACTATGTGTAACTTTAGTTCTTCAT